TATATATATATATATATATATATATATATATATATATATATATATATATATATATATATATATATATATATATATATATATATATATATATATATATATATATATATATATATATATATATATATATATTTATTTATTTATTTCTTTAAAAACATAATCATAAAACTGCCCCCTGGTGGCGAATATGTGTTTCGCTTCATCCTTGCATTACGGTGGAGTGGGCGGAGCCTCGTGAATGACGGTTATTTTTTTCAAACGAGGAAGTGAAGTCAAGTCCGCCATTTCATCTTCTTCTTTATATCGGGTAAGTTATTATTTTAAAATCATATTTGTGAGATATTTGTCGTCAGGTAATGTTTTTATTAGTTAGAAAAGCCCCTGTTTTGAAAAGTGATAAAACTGTAACTTATATGTGGATAATATGGCTAAAAACGGCTAAGAATGATGGCAGCCGTCAGTTCAGTAATCTGTTAAGTTGATTGTGCTCGGGGTTTTAACAAATTCATTTAAGTTACAATTGAAATGGTCAATAAGACGTGTTATATGAAGAACAGCGTCGAAACGGGAGCTTGAATGAATGAATCATATGCTGTCCGTTTTATACAGTTGTAATTGGTGCCGAGTTCTGCTTTTGTACTGGTTTTTGCTCAAACACTGAACGAACAGTCTCTTTTTGGTAACGTTAATCCTAATGATCTTGATTTGCTTGTTAATGTGTGTTTTATCAAGTTTCAGCAAAAGTTTGCAGAGTAACGTTATGTGGTTCATGCTGGCCACTGTTGAGACTGGTCTGCATAAAAACATTTTTAAAGCCAAAACGTTTGAAAAAAAATCCACAGTTGAAACATGATGTGTTAAATGACTTATGAAGGAAATTACGTTAATTAGCTAAAAAAGAAGGCTAAGTGTGTTATGAAATATTAAACCTTGTTAAAAAATAAAATCAATTGTGTTAAATAAGCTTAAAAGTCCAAACAAATGGTTTTGTGGCAAGTAAAAATAATATTTGTATAAATTGATTGTATTGTATTAATTTGTTACAGAAAAGAAAGGAATCATGCAAGGATGCAAGCTGAAGGAAAGGACAACTCTCACATCAGTGCATTACTTATTGTTTGACTTCATCATCAAGCACACCAGGTACAATATTGTACATATTTTGTAACTTGTATATGTCAGACTGGTTGTTGGGAACTGAAATAATATATTTTTTGTTTTATTTATTATTAAAATATTACAAGATTTATTGGTGCTATTTTATCACTGTGTGAGGTCATAGCTTATTTAAAAAATCTAATAATGACATCTTTTATCCTCCACTTGTTTCAAAATATTTTTTTTGTTCTGTTGAACATAAACTCAGACGGTGTGGTGGTACAGTGGATAGCTCTGTTGCCTCCCAGCAAAAATGTTTCTGGTTCGAGCCTCGGCTGGGTCAGTTGGCATTTCTGTGTGAAGTTTGTATGTTCTCCACGTGTTGGCGTGGGTCTCCTCCGGGTGCTCCGGTTTCCCCCACAAGACATGCGGTACAGGTGAATTGGGTAAGCTAAATTGTCCATAGTGAATGTGTGTAAATGAGAGTGTATGGGTTTTTCCCAGTGATGTGTTGCAGCTGGAAGAGTATCTGCTGCGTAAAACATATGCTGGATAAGTTGGCTGTTCATTCCACTGTGGTGACCCCAGATTAATAAAGGGATGAAGCTTAAAAGAAAATGAATGAACACAAACCCAGTTTTTCCTACTATGTATATCAATAGTTACAGGTTTTTAACATTCTTCAAAATATCTGCTTTAGTGTTGAACAGATTCAAACTGCTTTGAAACAAGTAGAGGATGAATAAATGGTGGCAGAATAGTAAACTAAATCTTTAAATGTTTTATTCTGTATGTTATGTGTATTCATATTTGTCTTGTCTTTTGTCATATTGTCCTTCTAGCTCAGATTGTGATGGACCGGGAATGCGACACCAGTTACTCTTAAGTCAAGAACCAAAAGAAGCACCAGAGTACAGATTATGGAGGTATCTGAAGTTGAACTAACTGGAAGCAGGGAACCATACTAATAAAGTTCCTTTAGGTAAAAGCACCTGCTTTATTTTGATAGGAAGTATTTTTTTTATAGAGTTCTATAGTTTTATTCCTATTCTAATTTTATTTTATTCATATACTGAATGGAAGTCATTCAAATTTCACAACAAATGATTTGCAGATTAAATATAACATATAATGACATTTTAGTGCATTATTTCTTTTGGTTATTCTTTACATCTATATATGGGCAAGTATTTAATCAATGAAAATAATTTTAAACAACTTAACTAAACAAATTACTCTGTTTGACCCTAATATTTAAAATAGCAAAATCCTCAAACTAACACACACTCTTGTGAATGCATTCTCACATTCATACACTCAAAAACACACATTCATACAACAGTCTGTCTCAGTCTGACTCACACACAACATCCTCTCTCACAGGTTTTTCTAGCAAACCTCCACCAATAGCTTGTCCTTTTATGCTGCTTTTATTTCAAACTTTTAGAGCATGATATAGTCCAGGTTTTTATCACTAAGTATTTTTTTCCATTCAGCAGGTTCCTTGTTAAGATGAACCCAGGGAAGAATCGAAAGTGGAGAAGACCAGATCAAGAAAGACTACATCAAGATCTGCAGTCAGTTCAAAGGTACTTTCACTAATTACCAAGATTTCAGACTATGAATTGATGGAGAAAACTTTGAGTGTCAGATCTTCTTACATCGCCTAGCAAAAATTCTTCCCAGTGTCTTGTAGTAGAAGTGATGCAGTCAATCAAGTTTACATTATTTCGTAAATTGCTTTCCGATTTAATAAAAAATATATTAACCAAACTTGATTAATGTAACAATTTTGATGAAAAGGGCATGTTTTACTAGAGCTTTTAGCACAAAGGCACCCCCATCTTGGAATATTGCTGTGTCTGACGTCACGGGGTTGGTATGCTGGAAACGTTTTTGAATGAGGTATTTGTATTATTTATACATACAGTAGTCTGTCTTAAAGCGTCACTAAATTGTACAGGCATTATAGGTCAAAGCAATCAGTTGTTATATTTATCAAAATAAACAATAAGGCTCTTAAAACACTGCTTTGAAAAATGTAGAAAATGTAAAAAAAAAAAAAAATTAAAATACCTTAACTGAAATGAAGTCATTTGTTTTATTATTTTTAAAATATATATTTTTGTAAAGTCATTTGTTTATAATTATGTAAAAAAAAATTCCATGTACTATAAAAGTTATTTAAGCAACAAATTTGCCAGATTGTAAAGGCAGACAAAGAATGAGCAAACAAGAAAAAAATTATAAAATGTGTAAATAAAAGGCTACATTTTAAATTTTTACATCTTTTCATCATATACGTAAAACCTTCCTAAGCTTGAAAATATATTTCCTTAAAATAAACTTCCTTTTTAATTAAATTCCTTGTAATTAAACAATTAAACCATTCAAACAAGTTTACACTTATAAAAGGTCCGTAATGAAAATCAGATTTTTTAAACTAAAATAGTACCATGTACTTTTACTCTGTATATAGTAATATTTACTCAAATTTGTTTTATTTTAGCAATATAATAGTATTTCTAGTCCTTTAATTTAATGTAATTTAATTTTCAGTTCTCTTTCCATCTACGAAAACATAAAAAAATGTATAATTTTACAAGCACATTTAAAATAGGTTTAATACTATGAAATATTATATTAATATTATTTTTTATAAATTGATAGGTAGTTCATATGGAATGTTTTTATGTATTGCTGAGAATACATTTCAGGTGTTCAATACGTTGCTTGTCAGTCTTAAAAATGAAAATAGGTGCTTAAAAAAGGTGTTTAAAAGTCCTTAATTTTAATCGAGTTGTGCCTTTATGTACTCTGCAAACAGCACCTTTTAATTGTTGTCTTCTCCTATTTTCAGGATGTTTTGCATTGGACTGTTTTTTTTTTTGGGATTTGACCCTTGCTCGCCCCTGAACTCACTCTTGGACTGCCCTGTTGGATTTTCAGTTTATTTTATTTATTTATTTATTTTTTTTGTTTTGGGTAGATGCTAATAAATATTTAGTTGTAATTATTTAAATAATATGTTTTTGTTAAATATGCGATTTCTGTGTTTGTTCTGTCTACTCGTACTTGTTTATCTTGTTTCTGTAATTATCATTTGTTTATTTGACCCTTGCCTCGCCTCTGATCTTGTTTTTGGATTGCCCTTTATATATATTTTTAATTATTGGTTCTGGTTATATGGTTATAAAATATTTGTTAATTTAATTAATATGCATTTTATGAAAAATAAAAAAAAATTCTGTTTATTCTGTATCTATTTATCTAATTTGTATATACATTTGTGTTTTTATGTTCTTCTTATTCTGTATATCCACTTACCTAATTTTAACTTTTATATATATTTATTTGCATTTAATTTTTGATAATTCTGTATACATTTATTTATCTAATTCATATATTTATTTGTATTGCATTGATCAATCTGTTGTTGTTTTTTTGTATGCATCTATTTATATAAATTATATATTTGTATTTATCAATTTATATGCTTCCTTTAAAGCAATTTTTAAATAAAGCAATTTAAACTAAGCATTCCTTTTAATGTGATTTATATAGCTACCAAATGTAGATGTGAGCCACATCTAACCCAAAAGTCAGCCGCAACTGAACCAGATCTGGGCCAGATCTGTGAAATTGCATGGGCCGCATCTGGGCCAGATCTGAGAAACTGCATGGGCTGCATGTGGGCCAGATCTGAGAAAGTGCATGGGCCGCAGCTGGGCCAGATTTGAGAATGCGCATGGGCCGCAGCTGGGCCAGATCTAAGAAAATGTATGGGCCACATCTGGCCCAGATATGGACCATGCTTTTTCTGAGATATGGCCCAGATCTGGTTCAGTTGTGGCTGACTTTTGGATCCTTATGTCAGCCACAATCAGGTTGAGTCATCGCCGTCATTCCGCGCGGTATGTGGGCCAGATGAAAATGGGGGATGTGGGCCATATCTGGGCCAGATGTAATTTGCTATCTGGGTATGTTCTCCACTGTTGAAAACATACGTGCTCAGAGGAGTCTGTGCTCACCTCTCAGAGCATTCTGATCAGTTGAAAATTTTTTTATTAAAAATAAACCAGGGCTAAGCATAAAATGTTTCCATGTTTACATAAAATTAGTTGGTCAAGTTGTAATAAGTGTATATAAATTGCAATAAATTACTATTTTGGCAGTTTTTTTCTTAAATGCATATTCCACTAAATTGAGATTTTGCTGCTGTGATAGAGATGTGCTCTCTTCAGTCATAAACTGCTCTCTGCACATCAGCATTTTTAAGCTTGTTTGACAGATGAGCACTTGTTTTACATTGTTGCAATTCTATAAATGCGTGTTTATAAAAGAAATTCATCATAAATTATTGATGCATTTTCCCCCTTCATTTACCAAAATTGTGATATATTGTGGCTGGTTTTCTTGTGATCTGTCAATATATCGCAGAATCTTTGATATCGTGATTGAAGCAGCAGTGCCCGGAAAAGCAGCAAAATGCTTTTTCATGAACTTGGCGATTAAAAAAAATAAGCTTCTGATTTATACAATTTAGAGTTGGTAATACACTGCAAAATTATTTTCCTTTTTATAGTTTTTGTGTGATTTTTGTAGTCCAAATATCTAAATATTCTTAAACCAATAAACATTTTCTAGAAAGATTTTTAGTCAAAATTATGTGAATTTTTCATTAAAAAAAGCTCAATAATCTGACAATTAGGATAAATAAAAAAAAGATTGTTTTATGTTTTAAATAAAATTATTTTACTTATCTCATTGGCAGATTAATTTGTTTTACAAAAAAAAAATCACTTAATTTAGAATTATTTCTGAGAACTGAAAATTTTTTGTACATATTTATTAATTTGATTTATATGCGATGCGATTTATATTCTAGACATGCGTATGTCTAGAAAATGCTTCCTGACTTAGTTTGATTTTAATTTAAATAGATGTTTTAAGTTATTTGAACTACAAAATACAATATGTTTTTTTTTCAGTATTAACATTTATATCCAATTAAAAAAGAAATTATCTTTATTGTCACTATGTTTGACTGTTTGGCAGCGTCTTGTGCCTGAATAATAATAAAAATAAGTATGTTATTGGCTACTTCCAGCTGCTTTTGTTTCTGCCAGCCCATATTAATGTTTTGTGTTATTTAGATTTTTGGCAAATAGTCATATAAAAAGTTGGATCAGTAGGAAGTTGTTTCTGCAGAATAATATTTAGAATTGTCTTAAAACATATATTTTATGATGTAAGCAACACAGCTACAGTGAACAAAATCAATAATGTTTGTTTTAAATTTATAGTGTGCGAATTATCAAGGATTGATGATAATTTATCATATTGTTTGCACCAAAGGGGCCCCAAATAAAATCCTGCTTAGGGCCCCCTGAAGGCTTGGGCCGGCCCTGCCCGGTTTAAATCCGAGTCACGGCAAGTTTTTCAAGGTGGCTTTGGCGTTGCACTCTGTGTTGCCATCTGTAATCTCCAGCCACCTTTTAGTGCAGGCTGTGCTAATGGCACATCCTGAATGTTTACGTTTCCTAAAGTGCGGAAGACTAGGGATTCAATATGAGAAACAGGATTTTTGATGCCAGCATGCTGTGTAGATAAGTACTGATCAAGTCAAGCTTCTAAGGCATGGAAGGAATCTTTTCAATTGTTGAGTGTCCACTCATTGCCACAACAGCAGAAAGACCTTCTGCAGTTATCATTGATCTATTTAATGTCTCCTAAATGACATGGAGTCCAAACTATTGTGTTGTACTGATGTCTACATCTACAACAACCATAAACCCAACCTTAAAGTAACCTGTCATGTTTTAGCAACATCCACACCAACCATAAGCTTAAAACCCCATCTCACGGTAAACTTTAGAGTTCTGTAAAGGTCTGCGCCGACCACAACCCTAAAGCTTGCCTACTTGTAATTTAATGTTGTAGA